TAACAACTTGTTTGACAAATGTTGCAAGAGGACTCAAGTCAGAAAGGTGGACAGCTTGGGCCACTCGGCCCAAAAATAATGACCTCATGAAAATTTAAAAGAGTGAGAACCAGCCATGCTCTGATGCCCTGAGGTATCCTAACATCAGCACTGTGGGGCTGGGTTCAATACGATTCAGTGGAAAGTCAGCTGACTGCAGTGTGTTTTATTAATAAGAGAGCTCAGTTAATACTAAAAAGAAGAGGCCCAAGGATGAATCCTTGAGCTATACCACAGAGGGTGGCCAATGATGAATGACATTTACCATGAGAAACGGAAAAACTTCTGTCAGACAGTTTCGACTTGAGCCACTCCAAGGCAGTGGCTCTAACATGCTGCTCTAGGTGGGAAATTAAAACATTGTGATCTAATGCGTCACAAGCTGCTGTGAAATGCAAAAGCATAAGTATGACAGTCCCCAAAGCCAATGGTTAAAAAAATACCAATAAAAACGTTCAAAAGTGCAGGCTCTGTGCTGTGATTTGCTTTAAAACCTGACTGAAATACCTCAGAAATATTGGGAGTGTTTAAAAAAGGCTGCAGCTGTAAGATCTACTTTTTCCAAAATTTTAGAAATGAAAAGGAAGCTTGAAATAGGTCTGAAACTGGACAACAATCAGACATTGTACATCATCTTAAGTCAGGCTGCTGCTTATAAGCCTTTGAATATAAGTTCCAATATTGTTGAATATATGGTCCAATAGTGCCCCAAATGTCTTTAAAAAACACAAACAAGTGGGAGGATATCATTGGGAGAGCCCGATCTGAGTAACAAGTTTCCTCAGTTATGACCGACACTGGAACAAAATGGCTAAAAACTGCAGGAGTGATAATAAAGAAAGGGTAATAAGAAGGATGTAAGATATGTGCTCTACCAGTTAAAATCTCGTCAACAAAGAAATGTAAAAATAGCTTCTGTGCATTTGGACTGAGGAGGGTTAAGATCAGAATTTTCAATGCTAAATAATAGACAGGACTTGTGGCAGTGGCTGTTGATAACGCTTGAAAAATATACAGATTTCTGGTTCTTTATGATATTTACTCCAACCATCTTTTTAGATAAGTGTCTTATTATCATAAGACACTTGTAGCTTGCCTTTTCCCCCCATTTATATTCTGCTTTTTTTACATTCTCTTGGAGCAGCAGTATTTCTGTCCTAGCTTTGCTAAATGTTGGCATTCTTCCTTTTGGTGCAGTGTATCAGGAAAACTGAAACAAAACAGCAAACTGAAGCCAAAGAGCCCCCTCTCCCCGCTGCTAAAGCATGTGATGCTCATAAATACGTATTCACACAGAAATACACATTAAATGGTCACTTTCACACATTTAATGCTAATGAATTTAATGATTCATTGTGATTTACTGCTACAAGGGTAGAGTATAGTGGATTTAACTGAATTCAATTAATTTAAATCAGCTAGATAAGTGTAAATATATAGAATATATAGAATTAAACTGAAACATTATCAGAGATTTACTAAGCATAGCATAAGTAAAACCCAGGAACTTTATTTTAAAAAATTATACCTGGGAATCCCACAGGCCAGTGGGAGCCACAAAGAGGCCGCTGGAAAGCTGCAATCACCAAATACCTGCAAAGAGTAAGGCAAGTCCTGAGGAATCAGCTGAATGGTAAGAACAAGGCTATCAACACCTTCGCCCTACCGGTGATCACATGCCCTGCTGGTCAAAGGAGGACTTCAAGACAAGGAAGCTTCTGAGCATGCATGGAGGGTTTCACCACAAACCCAGCACCCTGAGACTGTGCGCTAAACGTAAGGAAGGGGGCCGAGGACTAGTGAGTGTCATAACCTTAAGTTCCCAGGCCTCGGATAGAGGACCCGAGCTTGGAGGATAAAGACTGCACACTGTCTATATATATCTATCTATAACATATATATTATATATATATTTTAAATAACTCTTCCTATTTATCCGCACCAATGAATCTGTGTGTACACTCGTATTAATTTAATATCAGATATCACAGATGCACACGTGTTTACACTCCAGCACACTGTGCTATGAAGTCCTGAGATCAAAGAGCCACACCATGTGCACACACATACTGTGATGTGTGTGCTACATATATGTGCCCACAGTGGTTCCTGCTTGTGTGTGGTGTGTGTGAGTGCTCCCCAGCTGTCTCGCAGAGCTCCCTGTTGTTTGGCCTGACATGGCAGACGGGGCCGGCGCTGTAAACTCTTGGATCAATGCTTGTTTGGAAGATTTCTGTATCTAATTCCACCAAAGTCAGCAGCACTGCATCTTCTGATGTGTGTGTGTGTACGTGTGTTTGTGTACCCTAGGGTGCTTGAATTTGTGCCCATGTGCGTGCATGCTTGCATCTCCATCTTCCTAATGAGTTGTATATGTGAGCATGTGCGGAGGAATGCTGCAGGAGGTCCTGGTGTGTGTGTGTGTGTGTGTGTGTGGATGCAGAACATCAGTGTGTGCCTCGGTGGCCTACACACACACAGACACACACACACACACACACACCCGAACATACAGAGCTAAGAGTCATACAGCAGGGGCTAAAGACAGACACAGACAGACAGACATCATCAGTCTCTCTTGCACCTCCCCCTTGCTTTGATTAAAGATACAATGTTATTACTTGAGCAGACCAGCATTAGCTTATTGATTTATCTCCCCCAAACCTGCACACACTCACACACACACACACTCAACATGCCAGTACACCTTGTGATTGCACATTTGGGAACCCATGTGTATGCATGACGGAACAAACGCATAAACATACTCTGACACCACAGCCGTGCACATTAACACACTCATATGCACCATTACAGGAGACCACCCGCTCCAACAAACTAAAATGCAAGCTGTTAGCTCCCCCCCTCCCCTCACCAGTTACCTCCCCGCCTCCCTCCCATCGTCACATCAGGGATTTCCAGCGCTCCCAACACGTTGCCGGCATCATGGCCCTGCAGATGTCACTTAGCGGCAGACACACCTCTTCATTTCTCCATCTCGCCAGCCGTCCGCCTCTCATGGGACATAGAGGAGGGACCGAGCGGAGAGCACTGAGTGCATGTGTGGATGTGCAAGTGTGTGTGTTTGTGTGGCTACAGAGGGGGAGGGGAAAGGATCTGGGCAGGTTAATGAATTAGTAATTAGGATTGACATTGCGTCTGCAGTGGGTTTTCCTCCAAACTATTTCCACCCCTCTCTCCCTGTCATGCCTCTTTCTTTCTGGTCATCTGTGCATCCTCTGAACTCTCTTTGTCATCTTCACACCCCACCTCCCCTTGTACTTCTCCTCTCTTCATCCTTCTCCTTGGATAACCCCCTCCTCTACCTGCCTGGCTATGGGCCTCCCCTCTCTAACCTTCTCCTCCCCTTGTCTTCAAACGCACACCAGGCTCTTTTGTTCTGTCCACATCATCATCTCTAGTGCTTTATGCATCTCTCTCTCTTTTTCTTCCTCTTAATTCTCCCTGTGCCGCTTCATCACCCTTTTCACTCGCTCTCCTCCTTCTTCAGTCTCCTTCTAATGCGCTATTGATCTCTGGGATATTACTGAGGTCTCCACAGTCTGTGCAGATGTTACTGTAAAACTTGGCACTCCTGGACATTTGAAAGGGACGTGCTTCAGAGTCCTGAAGTACCAACATTGGAAGATTTTGGCACCAGCCAGTGCAGAGCCATATGAATGATTGGATGCTACTGCTGTGCTTCTGTTCATGACCTTGAGGTTCTTTAGTATGAAGGTACTGTCAAAGCGGAGCACTGTACAAAGGCAGTTCTGATGGTCTGAACTGCCTCCTGATTGAATTTAGCTGTGCTTGTGAAGTGAAAGAGAAAGGAGAGAAAAATGGTGTAAGACATATGCTGTTACAGGGTGAAAATATCCCCTTTGTTTTGTCAAGGGCAGAGCGGGAACAGAAGCTAATTTGCACTATATGCTGAGAGATAACATTAAATGCTTACTTGTCAGTTGGACGAAGAATGATAACACTTTTGTGTTAAATCCTCTGCAATCCAACTGATCACATGTGGCTCAGAGCAGGCACCATCAGCAGCCTGACAGCACAATCACAGTTTCATACCATGATGTGTCTATCAGTCTGAAAAAGAAAATTAGACTCCCTGGCAATTTCTCATTTTGACAAATGCAAATGTTCAAATACACATGAATATTAATATGGGGCGGGGCAAAAGCATGTGCATTGTATTAATGGCAATTTAAGGCGTTGCAGAAAGTGTTTATCTGACACTGTGTGCTCATTCCTTAAAACCAGTGGTCGTGTTTAGCGGTACAATTGGGATTATTGCTTTTCTCAGTGGGCTTTAATCATAGTTTTGACAGAGGAGGTAGGAGCACAAACAGCATTAGAAAAAAAGGGGGACTGACAAAGATCAACAGAAAGCGCTCGACCTGCTGTTACTGATGATTAACGGTACCCTGAAAACAACTTCTGACAGAACTCAAGGCTAACCACAGGTCAAAGGTCAAGACAGTGGTCTGTTGTGATAGAATTTAAAAAATGCAAGTAGATTTTTCCATGATCAGTTGCACAATACAAGAACATTAGGATGTTCACTTTCATTTATGTGTGGTAGGTTACAGTATGTTCTGGCATGATTACACTGAGCTGTTTCATGTAACATGGTTCACTGTGGGTCAAGCGGGCTATTGACTGTTTCATAGGTCATGTTTTCCCTTTTCAGGCATCCTGCTGAATTCCTGTTGAAACCAAACTTCAGCATGACCAATGCAGCATCCCAGATATGACAGCTGCAGGACTTTAGACCTTGGACAACACCATCTGAATGTCTGTAAATCATCTACATGCTCTCTTTTTCTGGTCAGTTCCCAAACTTTTGTATTCACACCATTAATTCTTAATTCTAATATCTGGTGGAGAGGGGGGGGAGTAACGCCATCCAAGATCCCAGGACCTTAGTGTGGGAAAGGTTTCACCACCTTTGAGCACTCTATAGCTCTAATATCACCGGTCCAGCTGCAACTAAGCTCCAGGTCTCCAGGTTATCATCAGTGGTCAAAGAGAAGCACTTATGTCAACACAACTGTCGGCGCTAATCTTCACTGCGGGCTGCAGTGTTTGATATCAACAGGCCATCGAGACACGTCTCGTTCACACCGCGCTCTAGCCACGGGAGAGTGATGGTACTCCCAAACGGTCCGAGGAGCGGGTTTAGAGTTTCTCAGCTGCCACTCAAAGCACGCATAAGCTCCACAGTGAGGAGGAGACGGGCAGGACGCCTCCGTTCATCCGTCCATTCATCAGAAATAATCCGGACCTCCCCTAGCAGCCTGAGCAGAGGCGCGAGACGACACCACGAGCTGCTTCGGTTGGACGTCAACGTCGGGCGCGCGAGCGAGAAGGGGGGCAGCTGAGGAAGGGAGAGAAAAAAGAGCCCGTCTGTCAGTGTGTGGCGTGTGGATGTAGGGGAAGAGAGGGGGAGAGAGGACCAGTGCCGCCGCGCAACTCCCAGCATATTTCAGCATCCGACTGGACGCATTTCACCGGTGAGTGAAGATACGACACGTTTATTTTTAAGACAAACGGTCAAAGTGTGAAGATATTAACCTAGTGCGACTGTGTTAGCGCTGTTTTACCGGCGGGTCTAGCGAAGCCCATGCTGGGTGACCGTTTAGTAGTTTATTAGCGAGAGAGGCATTTCTCACAGAGGCTGTCTTTAGCTTTCCTGTTTTTCTTGCTAATGTGGGAGCAAAAATGCTCACGCGGGGCTGCAAGCCTCCTCGCGCCGGCAAGCCGTGTTTGAGGAGCTAATGTAGGCTGTGAGATATGCACCGTGCGGGCCGTGGGATTTTACGGAGGTGTGTGCGTGTCTGTGTGTTTGTGTCCCCCGAGAGGAGGCAGAGAAAAGCCTTTCCTCTGCTTTTTTAGGAGGACAAGTCGGTCTTGAAACGCGACCAAGGCACTATTTTGGAGGAAAAGAAAGACACCGGCCTCAATTGAGCTTGAACCGTGTCTCCCAGCCATCCTGTTGTCATGGTTACTGGCTCGAGGAGGCTGGGAGAACATGGTTGTCTCGCGCTGTGGTCTCTCGCTCTCTCTCTCTCCTTCGCGCACACACACGCACACACACACTGGTAGAAACAATAAGCCTCGTCTGTCTGGTGTTTGTTTATGTCTTTTTAAGTGCATTGGGGGGGGACTCGCTAGAAAAAATAACACTGGGCCAAAGCTCTCAAATCAAGTGTATCCTATACATATAAGGGCAAAGGTGAGATGTAACCATGAGACATGTACCTTGAATAACATCATACATACTCTAAATTCTTTCCATAATGTCCAAATACAGGAATATTACAGACTCTGCAAAGACACTGCTGTGTCTTTGCTCTTTCAGGATGTGGGAGGCTTCTTTTTTAACAGGTGTTTGATAGCCGCTTATTTTTTATCCCCAAAAGCAAAGTCGCTATTATCTTAATTATAGCCATTTGCATGTCTAGTCTAGATCCATTGTAATTCATTTCCCCGATACAACTGTGGGCTCTTCCCATGCAAACGTGTTGCTCGCTCTCCAGTGTATTAATTTCATACTCAAGGTGTCAGACATCCAGACACACTAGCACAGCAGCTCCACACCAAACTGTCACCTCTTGTTGTCTTTTTCTTCTTTTTAAATCATCCCACTAATGACTTTATTAGCAGATGTGGAAAAAACACAAAACATTTTACCATTCAGACTAATGTTGTGTAAATATAGGGTTTGAGATATTAAACATATACAAAACACACTGAAATTCCAAAATGACGGCAACCTATGGTAGCACTTTATAGCACAGCCTGTGACTTACGGTGTAATATCTCAACACCTACAATGCAAATACTCAGAATTATCGCTAGGTACGGTGGAATAAGGGTAACAATTTGAGTTCTTAAAGGACATAAGAAACAAATTATACTGTAAGCAATTTGAAGTAGTGAGTAACACCATGGTATTTTAGAGGAAAAGACAAACAGTATTTACACATCTTGCACTGTAATTACTCACTACTTTTAGGGACTGTATTACTGAGTAGCCTAACCTCTTCTTACATAGTGGTTACAAAGTATATATAGGGTTGTGCCATTCAAATGAGCTATTTTAAATTCAAAGCTTTAATGTAATTATTCATATTGAAAAATTCAAGGATAATTAATTCAAATTTATTGTCCCACAATAATACATAATTACAATGTAAAATGGGGAGCTTAGACAAATCAGTAATACAACCCCTAAAATCTGTGGATATATATTTTTTTCAATCCTTGAAAATTTGTTATCACCATTATTCTATAAACTATATTATATACCTTCTGTTAAGTATGTTTAAGTACTGAATATAACAGCCTAAATTCAGAAATATTACACAACGGATTTAAGGAAATTACTCCATAGTATGTGAGCTGTATTACAAATGTTTCTAAATCTACACTTTTCAAAATCACTCACATGTCACAAAGGTCTGTTATGCTTGCCGTGCATAATAATGAGTGAATTTGTATTAGAAGGTGAAAGCACCCAGGGGAATAGGCCCAAAACAAGATAAATCACCACATTATTGTAAGCATGTATTTAGATGTAAGCAGTTAGAGTGACAAAATGTGAGCGGACAGTTGACCTTGACTGCACAGAAGTGACATATTGGGGTGATTTCAGGGAGCTGGCTGACTGTTACGCTCCACTGGGCTGGTCTAGCAAGTTTTAGGCGCTGTGATAATGCTGGTGTGACTTGCAGCACAGGCATGAATGCTAAGAAAATAGCCCTGGACCACTTCCAAGTCCACATTTTCCTGACTGCTTTCACATCCTCAGCTTATAAGGAGGAAATGATGACATTATTTTCTTCCTCTCTGCATCTGTTCTTGTAGCACAACAGCATTTTTGAAAGGTGACTCTGTGCTGTGTGTGCATGTATGAGGATAGGCTGCAGGGCCAGTGCTGCACCCAGCCTACGTGTTATGAACAGGGTCAGTAGGTCATTTATAGTATAGGACTAGTCTTTCTGAGCATGTCTTACTGATAGTGTAAGAGAGGAGAAGGGAAGAACAGGGGAGGTTTGCCTTCTCTGTTCTTAGTATGCAGATCTAATATCATCTGTCAATGTTCAGCTGGCAGCTTCATGAATTAATTTTAATTACTAATTAGCTTGTAGAAAGTATTTAGAAGGCTGTCCCGGTGGTCTTAATGCTGCTCTGCGGTAGATTTTCTATTGAAAGCTAAAATAAAATGGCTGTACTGTTCCTTTTACATGTATAGCAACAGCTTATTTATTTTGATAGTATAATTTACATTTTAGAAAAAATAGGGTGATCAGCTTGATGTCAACTACTGTGGTGAAACACCAGCATTGCATTCTTCACACCACTTGACAGTATTGGGGTGCTGCCTTTTAGTAAGAAATGCTCACGGTGGCACGCAGCACAAACAAAAGAGCTGCATACAAATGCTTCTATATTAAATGAACGGGGACAGCACTGCAAACGTAATGAGGTCAGGCAAGTTGAAAATATCAATTGATGGCCTGCTCCAGCATCTAAATTCAGTGAAAGGTGGTGCAATGATGCCCAACAGAGGTATCTACGGGCAGGGGAGTGCTTCCAAAAAGATTTACTAGATAGAGAGATAGCTAGACAGAGATTAATGGATTAAGATGATTAAGTCTTCATAGAGCAGAAAACAGTTAAGGCTAGTACAATACTTATATCATATTGAAAACCAGTATCCTGATTTTCTTTCCTATTGTGTCGCTCGTTCATTTGTTAAACTCCCAGAGAATCTTGGGTAATCCTTTCCACTGCATCACATTACATTCAGTGACTGCCAATGAAATCTGGCCAGAGTGCAACACCACTTGAGGAGTCCTGTGCTTATAGGCACAAAAGTATCCTTTTTTTATGTATTTACAGAGTAAGAGAAACCAATTTTATACTTAAAGGTCAGGTTAGCCTGTTAATATAACTGTATAATGTCTTTGATTGTGGACAAGGACTGTTAAGTCTGATAAAATGGAAGCTATGAGTTTGAAAGGGACGGCACATCTATTGCTGCAATCATTCAAAATGTCCAAATGGGAATTCATGCAAATATTTCAGACTGTCTTCTCACTGGGGTTGAGTTATATGTTAACATTAGCCAGCCGACCACTGTGAGTACAGGAAGCAGTGTTTGCTAATTTGTCTGCCAAAGTGTGTGCAGCACAGACTCACCAGACTCTCAAATTTTGTATTATTTTTGCTATAGCCTTTAAATAACCAGTAGGACAAAATGAGTAAAGTTAGGGACACCTAACAAAATCTATCAAATTAGTAAATATAAAATTAGTGAGACAGTAAAGAAGACTTAAGTCCCACCCACACATAAAATGATTTACTTGTTCCAAATCGCTTTTCAATTATTGATCAGTTTGCAAGAGGATATTCCAAGCCCCCTTTGTGTAGGTAATGTATTTATATGGTAATGTATCTCATATGTCATTCACCAGTATTGCTTTAGTTCCTCGCTTCAAAGATGAGAAGACTTTAATTTATGACCCTTGACTTTACATCGGTTATTTTGCCTGTTGTTGCTACACATGGTTGCTTTTTATTGACATTATAACAGCGCTTATTCGTACACTGGCAGGTTCCCATGGTGCTACATTCATACATCATGAGAATCTCCATCAGAGCAGTCTGTCAGTATCTTTGTACAACTCTCTGATCTTGCTCAACACAACAACAAAGAAGGGAACCCTTGGGCGACCACTAAATTAGAAGAATAGCACAAAAAAGGCACAAATAATAGCCAATCGAGTGGACTAGTCTATCACTGAGCTAACACAACAGAGAGACAGATAACCATTCACACTTGCAGTCACTCTTGTAGCCAGTTTTGAACAACCAGTTATGATATAACCAGATAAAAAAACTACTGTGTATAGCTCTTAAAACTGAATTGATTATACTAATATTGTTCGTAATTTGTTCAGATATTAAATGAATGGGAGTTTGTTATAAAAACATAAGTCGATGTGTCAGTGTCTGTGTTTGATGTGATCTTGGGTGTGTCAGAATTATGCCATGTTTTCAGTCACAAAGGCTTCCCCTTTTCAATTAAAATTTAGCACGTGTACAATTTAAGTTAAATAAATATTGAACCTAAGGATCTAAAGCAGCGGCATCTTCAGCACCACTGTGAGCTTTGTGTTTCTGTAAGATCTTCTCAGCACTTTCCTTTTCACTCTTATTATCTCAGTAGTTGCTTCTCTGCTGCTTATAGAGACCAGTCATGCTTATCACCAGAGACTCCCATTGGACTGCAGCTCTGTGTCTCAGGGATCAATAAATCACACCACGGTGTATGTCTATGTGCAGTCTTTGCAGTGTGTGTGTGTGTGTGTGTGTCACAGAAGCACATGTAGACAGATAGAGAGATATAAAAGGCACAAGAGGGAAGAAAAGCTATTTAATGGCAACTTGGTCTTTTATCCATCATTCTCACTGGATTGGTGAGTTATAAGTCTAGGCGATGGCATGCTTTTAGATGTTAGACGTTGGTCACATGATTGGCAGGTTGTCTGATCACAATTAAAGGAAATTGATAACGGTTAAGAGCCCCAGTGTTCTGCTGACAAAAGTGGAATGCATGCATCCATCCTGATAGCCATTGTATATGTTGAGACACAAAGACTCAGAGACACACAGACACACACATACCCCATCTGATAACCGCTCCCCCAAACACACACACACACACACACACACACACACACACACACACACACACACACACACACACACACACACACACACACACACACACACACA